CAACTCTAAATAACATACTCATTAAATTTCATGTTATTTTCACACATAATAATAAAATAAAATAAACTAACAAAGGGAAAATAACTCAATAAATATATAAATCAAAACAACATTGAATGTGATTTAAGATTATACCATACAGAGTTAATAGTATAAGTTTCTCTAGAAAACCAATGGAGGGCCTCCCTAGTGGCACAAAGTGTTAAGCACAGCACTATGAAGATGTCCGCAGCCTCTGCAGCACCAGTTCGATCCTCAGTCTACCAGGGAATTACCCACATGGTGCAGCAGGCCTCTCCTGTCTTGCCTGCTGCTCCCTTCAGCAGTGTATTTCAGTCTATCTGCCTGTTCTGTTCCCCACTCTGTCTCTGGTGAATACTCTCACCCCTGGCACTTCTGGTCTGTACCCCAGTTCTTGTATGCATAAATAAATAAATCTTAAAAAAAAGAAAGTCAATTAAAAATAATTTGTTTTGTTTAGTAAAAATCCCATTGACAAAGATTTTATGTAGTCACTTATTTAAGCCTGATGTTCATTGTCTTTTGGGTTTTAAAGTTAGTTCACATAGCATACTACAGAGGACATTCTTTGTCTAAAGATTTATTTTAGGGCCTCCCTGATGGTGCAGGCGGTTGAGCACAGTGCTGTGAAGCTGTCTGAAGCCTCTGCAGTGCCGGTTCGATCCCCGCCAGCCTCAGAGCAACCCACATGGCCAGCAGACCACTCTTGTCTTGCCTTTGCTCCCCTCAGCCGTGTGTTTCTTCAGTCTGCCTGTTCTGTTCCCTGCTCTGTCTCTGGTGAAACCTCTCACCCTCCCGTGCATCTGGCCTGTACCCGGTTCTTTTATAAATAAAATAAATCTTAAAAAAAAAAAAGATTTATTTTAGATTCTCATAATATGTTTTATAGTAAATCCTTTATTCGGTGTCCTGACTGGAAATATATATATATATATATATATATATATATATATATATATACACACACACACACATATGTGTATATATATATATATAGAGAGAGAGAGATAATATGCATACATGTTTTCCTAGTTCATTTTCTCTGTTGCCCTTTCTTTTAAAGCAAAGCAAACAAAAATGATTTCGCAATAAAAAGGAAAAGACAAAACTTCAGAAAATTTCTATGTTATTAGTAGAGAGTTACTTAACATAGACTATGAAAACAAAGGCTTTTGGTGTCTCATAAATAAGAAAAATTTTATTTTTTTATTTATTTTATTTATTTTTTATTTTTATATTCCCTATACAATTTCAACCCCTCCATTCTGACCCCAATCCCTCCCCTCCCTCCCCCCACCCCACAAAAAGTGTCTCTGGTTCATAATTTTTGTTGAGTTTCACTTTCTTATAGTTATTCAATTTCTTGGCCCCTTATTTAAGTTTCTAGATTCCTGCTATGAGTGAGACCATCCGGTATTTTTCTTTTTCTTTCTGGCTTATTTCGCTGAGCATGATCCCTTCCAGCGCCATCCATGTTGCTGCAAATTGCATGTGTTCATCTTTTTTAAATGCTGAGTAATATTCCATGGTATATATGTACCACATCTTCTTGATCCAGTCATCTATTTTTGGGCATTTGGGTTGTTTCCAAAGCTTAGCTATTGTAAACAGTGCTGCTATAAACATAGGGGTGCAGGTGCTCTTTGGAATTGATGTTTCTGTGTTCTTTGGGTAAATACCTAGGAGTGGAATTGCTGGATCATATGGAAGCTCTATATTTAGTAGGTCAAGAAATCTCCACACAGCTCTCCATAGTGGTTGGACCAGTTTGCACTCCCACCAACAGTGCAGAAGAGTTCCTTTTTCTCCACACCCTGGCCAACATTTGTTGTTGCTAGTTTTTTTAATATGTGCCATTCTCACTGGTGTAAGATGGTATCTCATGGTAGTTTTGATTTGCATTTCCCTGATTACAAGTGATGTTGAACATTTTTTCATATGCCTGTTGGCCATTTGCATTTCCTCTTCAGAGAAGTTTCTTTTTAGCTCTTCTACCCATTTTTTGACTGGGTTATTTTCTTTGTTGTTGTTGAGTCTCATCAGCTCTTTGCAGATTTTTGTGATCAGTCCTTTATCATTAGTGTTGTGTACAAAAATGTTTTTATTGAAGAGTTTAGTCCATTTACATTTAGGGTTAATATTGATATGTTAGCATCTGTATTTGTCATTGTGTTTGTCTTTCCTTTGATTTTATTTATTCTTTTAATAACTTTTTTTTTTCTTGCCTTCTTTCGTTGTTATTCGTCCCTCTGAGGTTCTGGCTTTAGGATTCCTTGTAGTATTTTTTGGAGTGGGGGTTTAGTGGTAATGAAATTCCATATTTTTCTGTTTGTCTGGAAGGTCCTTATTCTTCCTTCATAGAGGAAGGAGAGCTTTGCGGGATAGAGTATTCTTGGTTGACATCTGTTTTCTTGGAGTCTGTTGACTATGTCCCTCCACTCTCTCCTTGCCCGTAGTGTTTCTTCAGAGAAGTCTGATGTCAGCCTGATTGGTTTTCCTTTGAATGTTATCTGTTTCTTCCCTCTTGTCAGCTTCATTATTTTTTCCTTGTCCTGGATTCTTGGGAGCTTCACTATTATGTGTCTTGCTGTATTTTTCCTTTCATCGTGGAAGTTTGGTGTTCTTCTTGCTTCTTGTATATCAATTTTCAGCTCCTTCTTCACATTTGGGAAGTTCTCTTCAATTATCTCCTGGAATATTTTCTCTGTTCCTACATCTCTCTCCTCTCCTTCTGGTATTCCTATAACTCTTATATTTCCTTTCCTCATGGAGTCAGATAGTTCCCGAAGTCTTTCTTTGTTCTTTTTCCTTTGTACTTCTCTTTCCTTTTCTGTTTTGGTTCTTTTTATTTCTGTGTCTTCAAGAGTACTTATTCGTTCTTTCATTTCATCTATTCTGTTTTCATTGCTTTTCATCTATTCTGCTTTCATTGCTTTTCCCAGAGTTCTTTAGTTCCTCCATTAATTCTTTGATCTCCTGCGTTTCTTTCGCTTCCCTATTTAAAGACTCAATTTCATTCTTCTGAGCATTGTTTTCCCTCTTTAGGGACTCAATTTCCTTCATGAGTTCTGTCATTTTTTTAATCATGGCAAATTTAAATTCTCTTTCTGGAAGGCTCAGAAGTTCTTCCAAGTTACTGTCGTTGCAATCTGGGAGGTGGTTTTCTTTTTGTGGTGTGCTTTTTTCCTGAGGGGTTGTTAGGTTGCGTGTGGTTCTTCTACTCCCTACTGTCTGTTTTCTAATTTGTCGTATGCATTGGGATACTGTGTTGCTGGGACTGGCCGGCATCTTGGGTGAGCTTCTCTGCTCCCCTCTGGCTCCTCCAGGAGCCATCTGTCGGTGTCAAGCAGTCTTTACTGAAGAAGGGTCCCTGTTCTAAAATGCCGATGTGGGGACACACTCCCCTGTGTGCTTGGTCTGCCCCGGCGGTGGGTTCCCGTTCCCCCTCTGGGTTTGGACTGCGGGCCACACGGGGCCTGGCGTGGGTGAGCTTCCCTGCTCACCTCTGGCTCCTGTGGGAGCCTTCTGCAGGCAGTCTTTACTGAAGAAATGCCCCTGTTCTAAAATGGCGATGCGGGATGCACTCCCTGTGCGTCCAGTCTCAGGTACACTTTTCTGCGCACCCGGTCTGCCCTGGTCGTGGGTGCCTGCTCCCCCTGTGGGCTCAGACTGCTGGTCTGAAGGGGCCTAGGGTGGTTTATCTTCCCAGGTGGCCACGGGCTCTGCCTTCTGCCTGTCAAGTGGTCTTTCCTGAAGAAAGGTGTTAGTGACTTTTTCTGGTCGCTAGGTGGCGCCAGAGATTCCTCCTAGAGCCCTTGGGGAGCTGTGTTTTTCACCCCGTGTGGCAGGGAACAGAGTGGGAATGGTAAGGAAAACCTCAACAGCTTTGGGGTGCTGTGTCTGCCTTGTGCCCCGCCGACGTGTAGGACCCACGCCCCGAATTTCGTGCCCCAGGTCTCAGTTCCAAAGCCCTCAGGTCTAGGACGCGGGCTGTAGCCCAGTTCAGTGGCCGCAGCAATGGCGCCTTTTGCACCCGCTCCCGTGTCTGGGCGCCTGGTTTCTGATTACTCAGTGAGGGACTTTCACCTCAGTGAGGGCCCTGTGCGTCTCCCCGCAAGCCTAGGTCTCAGGCGCGCGGACCTGGGCAGCCGCGATCCCGATCCGCGTTTGCTTTTCAAGCGCACCGCTTTTCCGCGCAAGCTTACCGGCCGGCCTGGGCTGTGTGCAGGTCTCCCGGGTCTCTGCTGTTCTCTAATGGCGCCTGGAGCTCTCCGCTGGGCGAATCCTGCAGGGTTCTCCACAGCTCCCGTTCACAGGGTGTGGTGGCTGAAATAGATCCTTTCCACTCACAGTCCCGCTTGCTGCGTCGTTTGTTCTTGTTGGTCATTTTAGTTTGTTTTTTTCCTCCTCTCTGCTGGTCGGGGAGTGCCGACTCTGAGGGTGGGGGAGGGGAGCAGGGTTCTGCGCTTCCCTCCCTTCTGGTCCTCTTTTATGGCCACTTTCTTCTTCGGGCAGTTTGCTGGAGTCACCCGTTTATCTTCCGTGTCCCAGTTCTCACTGGGACCTGCCGCTTTTCCTCCCTATTAACTTTTTTTTAATGGGAGATCTTACTCGCAGCGTCTCCTCGCCGCCATGTTGCACCGCCTCTCTAAATAAGAAACATTTTAAATGGAAATATTTTTCAATATCAACAAAACCATTTTTCTTCTTGAATATTAGTTTTTGGGTCAAATTTCATTCTTCCTCATAAAATGGCACCATAACAGTCATTAAATAATGTTCATATAAGGAGTTGGGACAATTTTACTACAAGCATTAAAAAATATTTATAATCACTATTTGATATGCAATTATTTTAGCATAAAATATAAAATACTGATATATTGATATATATAGCCAAAATAAATTTTCATGAAATTTGGGGATCTTGTTCTACCTTGTCTTTGTTACTCATATTTATCATTTATTTATCATTGCAGATTAAAAAAATCAATAGAAACTTTCCTGTAAACCAGCAGGTAAGATGAAAACATACTTGGAATCTCAAGTCATGCATATATTTCATTATATATGTATATATATATATTTATACACACAGAGATATACAAATAAAAGTGATTGCATTTACTTTTATGTGAAAATTATTCATAATCTCATTTACTAGCCAGGTAAATAATTTATTAAAATTTAGAATCTTATGTTTTACTTATCTGAAATTTCAAGGTGATTTCCAAAATCTGATGGCAGTATTAGTATTTCACAATTCTGAATTACTGAATATAGTTGAAACAATACTTGATTCATCAAACACATTATGTAGTAGACTAATATGACTAATATGCTTATTGAACAAAATTATTGAATACATTTTTTATAACTTTATTATGTTAACTTTTGCTTTTATTGCCTTTATAAACATAATACAAATATTAGAATGGATAGTAAAGGTAAGTGAAGGCTCAATGTTTTGATACATGCGGGTCATTGATATATCAGGTGTGTGTGATACTGGAACTGCAATCCAAGAAATAAAATTACTCTTAATATCAATCTCAAATTGCAAAAACCAAATAAACATATGAATGTCAAAGATAACCATATCTGAGTGATACACCAATCACAAATTAAATTTAAAGTAAACTTTAAAAATTGTCTTTAATTTATAAAGTGTAGTTTCTTTTTCCAATCTAAATCTCAGTTCCATCATCTATTTGGGTAAGTTTACTTTTGATGATTAAACTTTAACATATGTAAAGTTCTCAATAAAAGTCATTATCATTAAAGTTTAAAATTGTAAAACTCTTTTTCAGAATACAAAATTTATGTCTGTCTAAGCTACTTCATTGATAACACTAATTCAGACTGGCCTGCAAAGATATGTGTGAATGAAATAATAATGAGATTATTTTGGAAGAGTTCAATGTGACCATAATGTTCTGAACTACATCTTTGCATCCTAGAAATTTGTTGTCTCTTACCTTCAGATCCTCACTTATGCACCAAGTAGATGTTGTTTTTTTTAATTATTATTATTTTAAAATTTTATATATTTACATCATTTTTCATTTTTGAACCATGTATGCATTTTCATCTTGGTTATAATCCCCATAAAATTCCCACCCACCCATTGTTTTGATCCTACTCCCTCCTCCCCAAGTAGATGTTTTGAATAGTTGATGATCTTATAGAGGAGTATGTGTCACATTCCAAGATATGGTTGCACTTAGTATTCTTACTAATAGTATAGCGGCTAAGACTACACTCCAGAGTTTTTCAAGTAGAAACAAACATTACAATGGTGAATACACGTGTGTATTTGTGTGTGTGTGTGTGTGTATTCACAGGTATGTATATCTTCTTATTTTAGAACTTCTTTCCAAAATTATAATTAATGAATGCTTCTTTTAGAATGACTATTATTAATAATATAATTTGTATTACTGTAAGTTTTTAATGTTTCTGACAGCCCTGCTGCTATTCTTTATTCATAGTGACAACCACATTTAACACTTCTTATATATTTCCTTCTCTAACTTGTAACATTCCTTTTCACCTCTATATTTAAATTTGTTTTGAATAATAATAAGTGAAGTAATAAAAATATGAAAAAGTTGCATACAGAATAAATAATAACTTAATATTCTACTAAATATAGTAAACAGAGGGCCTCCCCGGTGGCGCAGGGTTGAGCGCTGGGTTGTGAAGCTGCCCGCAGCCTCTGCGACGCTGGTTCGATCCCCGGCTGCTGAGGTCCACACGGCGCGCAGCTGCTCCCTCAGCAGTGTACTTCGGTCCTTCTGCCTGCTCTGCTCCCCGCTCTGGCTCTGGTGAATTCTCTCACCCTCCCGCACTTCTGACTGTCCAGTGCTTGTATAAATAAATAAAATAAAATAAAAATAAATCTTTAAAAATAAATAAATAAATAAATAAATATAGTAAACAGAGATATGCATTAATGTTGATGGATTTAACATACTAGCCTTTTAATTTAATTACACTGAAATTTTATTTAAAATCTTTAGCCATTGCTTGATTTTTAAATCAGAATGAATTTTTCTTGCCATTTTATTTGTTTTATTTATTTATTTATTAAAGATTTATTTATTTATACAAGAACTGGGGTACAGTCAGGTGCAGGAGGGTGAGAGAATTCACCAGAGAGAGTGTGGGGAGCAGAATAGGCAGACAGACCGAAGACACTGCTGAGGGGAGCAGCAGGCAAGACAGGAGAGGTCTGCCCCAACTTGTGGGTTTCTCCCTGGCCAGCTGGGAATCGAATCTGGGCTGCAGATACTGCACACAGCTTCACAGCGTGTCACTCAACCTGCTACACCACCAGGGAGGCCTTTTCTTGCCATTTTAAAAACTGAAAGAAAGAGTTAAGATTTCTCATCACTATTTTCTATCATGTAAATAAAGACCTCTATGAAATAGAATTACTTTCTATTTCAACTTTTATATGTATGCGTGATAATGTCACACCTGCATAGTGAGCTAATAATGCAGTAGGAATACATTTCCAACTTAATGAAATCTGAGCCACTTTAAGGAATTATTTTTTTAAGATTTATTTATTCATGTACATAAGAACCGCGGTACAAGCCAGATGTGTGGAAGGGTGAGAGATTCATCAGAGAGAGAGTTGGGAACAGAATAGGCCAACTGATGAAATACACTGCTGAGGGGAGCAGCGGGTGCGACATGAGAGGTCTGCCTCGCCATGTGGGACCCTCCCTGGCCAGCCAGCATCGAACCAGCACTGCGGAGGCTGCAAACAGCTTCACAGTGTGGCGCTCAATGGCCTGTACCACCAAGGGAGGCCCAATAAAAAAATTAAATCCCTTGGGCCTCCCCGGTGGCACAAGGGGTTAAGCACCGCACCATGAAGCAATCCATGGCATCTACAGCACGAGTTCGATCCCAGGTGGCCAGGGAGCAACTCACATGGCGCAGCAGAGACTCGCCCACTGCTTCCCTCAGCTGTGTACTTCAGTCAATCTGTCTGTTCTGTCCCCCACTCTGTCTCTGGTGAATTCTCTCACTTCCCCCATCCCTGCATCTCTGGCCTGTATCCTCTCAAACCCTCCCTCCCCCGCATCTCAGCTCTTGTATGCATAAATAAAATCTTTATATGACTGGATCAAGAAGATGTGGTACATATACACCGTGGAATATTACTCAGCATTCAAAAAAGATAAACACATGTAATTTGGATGGAACTGGAAGGGATCATGCTCAGCGAAATAAGCCAGAAAGAAAAAGAAAAATACCAGATGGTCTCACTCATAGTAGGAATCTGGAAAACTTAAATAAGGGACCAGGTAAAAGAATAACTATAAGGAAGAAAATATCAAAATCAACAAACAACTATGAACCAGAGACACTCTATGGGGGGTGGGGGACGGGGAAAGGAGGGCTTGGGGTCAAAATAAGGGGGTTGTAATTGTATGGGGAATATAAAAATAAAATTTAAATAATAATAAAAATAAAAAAATTGCTAAAAAAAATAAATAAAATCTTTAAAAAAAATTAGGGCCTCCCTGGTGGCGCAGGCTGTTGAGCACAGCACTGTGAAGCTGTCCACAGCCTCTGCAGTGCTAATTCGATCCCCACCAGCCTCGGAGCAACCCATATGGCAAGCAAACCTCTCCTGTCTCTCCTGCTGCTCCCCTCAGCAGTGTATTTCATCAGTCTGCTGTTTTGTTCCCCACTCTGTCGCTGATGAATCCTCTCACCCTCCTGCACATCTGGCCTGTGCCCCGGTTCTTATATAAATAAAATAAATCTTTAAAAAAATAAATCCCATATAATTGTATTTTTCATCCAGACTTAGCATTTAAACATGACTTAGACTAAATCTTATTATGTTTCCACCAAAATTTCTTCCCAACAATTTCCATGAAAAGTTCTTTGAAGCTTATATTAGACATAAACATATGTTTGCATATGCTCTTAATTAGTTGGTACATATATTATGGGGAATATAAAAATAAAATTTATTTTAAAAAAGAAAAATAAATAAATAAATAAATAAATAAAAATAAATCTTTAAAAAATCAAAAAAAAAAAGTCATTCAAGTGTGATGCAATGAAAACCATGCTCCTCTATTGCTGATGTTCTAGGTCTCAGAAAAGGAAGTGAAAAAAAATTTAATGACTTCAAGATATATGAGAACAGAAGTCTTGTTTTTCTTGTGGAATTTGGTTTTGAATTTGTGCCACACATATGGTAAAGCTACTCCAAACTATAGAGAGGTCGGAACAGGATAAAGTCCTTGCATTCCCCAGAGGTCACTGCTTTTGATTAGTTCTATAGGACCACCCCAATGTCCAGAATACATGAGACATTCATAAAAACAATTTCACTAAAAAAGAGAGAGATTTGAATATAAAATTAAAAGTCAAATGAGAAAATAAGCCATATTAAGGCAAAGCAAAACCTAAAGATTAAGTAACAATCTAAAATTATTTTAATTATTATGTGTTTATTAAAACAAAGAAATAGAATTTCAAGTCAAGAACAGGGGTTGAACATGGAGATTTGCAAAATAACCAAAGAAAACTTCAAAAAATGTAGAAAAGAGTATATGTTAAATTAAAATCAACCAACTCACTGAATAACAAAGCAAATACAAAATATGTAACTGGAAGTAATGTATCTGAAAATATCATCAGAATGTAGTGCACATAGAAAAAGGTAAAACATGTGAAAGACAATCTAAGACTGGAAGCTTAGAATGAGAAGTTTAAAAAAAAAATGAATACAGTAGAAATAATGGAGAGACCTGTGACAGAAAATAATATGAAGAGAGATGAAGACTTAGAATTACGAGTCTTCAGATTAAAGAATCAAACTAACTCTTGAACATGATGAAATGAAACAAATCTCTTTCAATGGAAGATCTGAAAGAACCCAAATGTCCAATCACTGGGATACATTCAAAGGATTAGCTTGCTCTGCTAGTACTATTATAGATGATTATCCAAGAAAGTTACTAGGTGGCGCTATCAAAGTGAG